TTATTCACAGAATGTACCTGCTAGGCACAGGTGGATGCCTGCATATGCGCACAAAGGCATGCATGCATGCACACACACAACATGCACCTTTGCCCCGCATGCCTCTCCCTCGCCTTGCAAGCCTCAAGTGTGTGGAATACCATATATCTCCCTGTCTGTCCTCCGTTATATGATCTGGGCTTGTCTCTAATAGGTATGGACTATTTTTAGACAGATGGCTCTGAATTCCCATCTCCTGCAAGACTCCTCCAGACAGCCGCCTTTCTGACAAGGCCTTCAAGGAGCCAGGATTTATTTCCTTGCATCCCTGGCGGAGGAGGAGGAATTGCCAAGGACCTTGACTTGACCACGGACAGCATCCTCAGACCGCCCCTTCATCCATTTCTCGAATTATCCAGGAAGATAATTTTCACCCCTGATGGAGTTAATTTGAGCTGTGAATGATTGCAAAGAGTTGCTCAGGGAACTACCTAACCTTTTTTTTTTCATCTCCAGCTGATTCCTGGTTTTATTACGGCCTTGAGAGATTTTTTGGAACTAGGCCTGGCCCATTCATTGGGTAGATGCAATGTTTGCCTCAAAGAAAATTACCCGTTTTCCACAAGCAGAAATCTATTTCCATGCTAAAACTGTTCCTAGATGGAGTCATTGCAGGCCATAAGGGAAGGTATCCCTGTCTCTGCACATTTAAGCACATGAGGGAGGAAATCCCTGCATGTAGAAAGGAAACACTTCAGGGAGAGAGGCCCAGTCATTGGATAGATGGAGTATTTGTCCCAAAGAGTGTTGATAGACTCGGAGAATCCTAGATGTGGAGGGGACCACAGGGGTCATCTATCCGACCCCTCCCTTGCAGGAATACAAAACTCAAGTCTTCCCAAAAGATGCCCATCCAACCTCCGTTTAAAGACCTCCAAAGATGGAGGGAGAGTCTTTCACCATCAGAACTGGTGCATTCCACTATAAATAGAAGACCTGCTCCATAATGGAGCATCATCCCAGGCCATAAGGGAAGGAGTTCATGTTTCCGCACATTTTAAAAATAAAAAGCCATGCAGATTATGAAGACCATGGAGTTGGAAGAGACCCCAGGGGCAATTCTGCAATGCAAGAAGCCCCCATCCAAGCCCTCCCTCCCTGGGACGGATGGCCATCCAGACTCTATAGTTTAAAAACTTACTTAGCATCCCTAATTCTAACTTCAGTTGCTGGACTATGATAGACTGGAAAGAACTGGTTGATGCCCAGCAAAGGAGAGGCTGGATGCGATGAAAGTGGGATCAGTGGAAAGGGATGGGAAGGAGACATAAAAGATTGTCTAGGAAGCTGAGTTTTCCTTGTATTTGTTTTGAAGCCTTGGAGAGGTACCATGCACTGTACGCATTCTCTCTTTGCCCATGAGGACTAAGAACTTGCTTTTTATACAGAAAGGAAAGGCAGGCACAAGAAAGAGAATGCCATTCCTGGAATTTATAGATCTCCATCTCTCTCTCTTTCTTTCCCCCCATCCATCCATCTATCCATCCATCCGTCCCTTTGTAAGGCCTTTCTGCTTAGCTTGATTTATGAAGCCTGCCGTTAAGCCAGTAAAGGGCTGGAAGAGTTGTAAGATCTGTTAATGTTCTTATGTGTCCTAATTGATTTTTAACAGGATATTTCTATTTGCTTCTCACCTCCTCTGAGCCTTTGGGAAGGAAGAGGCTATAAATTTAAGTACATTAAAAATCTATTCTCTCTCCCTTACTCTCTGGCAAGTGTGCGTGCTGGGCTTCCCTTGAACTCCAGCTGATGTTAATTTACCTTTTCCCCCCAAATAAATAAATAAATGACAGCGTAAACGGGTTGTTAGGAGGCATTTGCCTGGAAATGTGTTGTGCTACTAGAATTCTGGCCATTTAAAATCTGCTTCAGCCTTTGTCTGACCAGAAGATATTGTTGCTCTTAGTTGCCTTTGAATTGACTTGGACTGATGGTGACCCTTTGGATGAGACATCTCCAAGACCCCTTGCCCTCCATTGCTCTGCTCAGGTCCTCCAAATTCAGAGCCATGGGTTCCTTGATAGAGTCCATCCATCGGCATGGGGTCTTCCTCCCTTCCTACTACCTTCTACCGTTCCTAGCATTATTGTCTCTTGTAATGTCTCCTGTCTTCTCATGATGTGTCCAAAGTACGACAGCTTTGGTTTAATCATCCAGGGAGAATTCAGGACCCATTTGTTGGTCTTCTTGGCCATCCATGGCATCCACAGTACTCTTCTCCAGGCTAAGCATAATCGGTAGGTGGCTTACTGGTTTGAGCATTGGACTATGACTCTGGGGACTTGGGTTCGAATCCCTGCTCTGCTATGGCCATCCATGGTATCCTCAGCACTCTTGTCCAGGAGTATGAAGGCTGCCTACCTCACAGGTGAGGCCAGAACTTCAATGGTGCAATTGATGCAAGGGCTCTGTAGTCCTTAGCAGATGGTGATGGTCACTCTGGGAGAAGGATGAGGTTACCTGCCATCAAGTTGCAACCAACATGTAATTTAGTTTATGGGTGCATCTAGAAATAATGCAATTTGACATCACTTTAGGAGCTGTAGAATCCTGAGATTTGTAGTTTTACAAGGTTTTTTAGTCTTCTCTGCCAAAAAGTGCTGGTGCCTCACAAAACTATGGATCCTAGGATTCTGTATGATGGAGACATGGCAGTTAAAAGTGGTGTCAAATTGCATTATTCTACAATGTAGATGCACCCTAGATCCTTGCTAGTGGGAAAAGGGATCATTTGAAATAACTAGTGATTTGTAACTAGTAGTACAGTAGTAAAGCATGATGTGTAAGACTTCATCATATGGTCTCTAGCAAAAATGCAGGTAGTTGTGTTGAACTATCTATCTATCTATCTATCTATCTATCTATCTATCTATCTATCTATCTATCTATCTATTCCCTTCCTTCCTAGCAGTTTTTAATCTCCGCCATCTTTTGTAAACCTAATGGCTCTGGATGGCTCTGAATTAGGACAGGGATATAGCCCTGACAACCCATTGTTGCTGGGAGAAACCCATTTTCCTCCCAGTTAGTGTGAGGATTGCAGCTAAATCAGAGGGGAGGGAACAACGTATTCCAAGGAGAGTGGCAGATGGATGCTGTAGTCCCTACTCAGCAAAATATCCTAAGGCTTTGAACTTGTGCACCCAGCCTCCATGCACCTCTGTTTGTAACTAACTACTTCCAAGACTCAGACTGGTTTTAAAATACAGGTCAAGTAACTGTCCAGTCCTCCTCCCGATATCTATGCATCTCCCATAAAACCCAGAATGTTAAAAAGATGATGACTCTAGACCCTTAATGGGCATATTTAGCAACACAGCTTTTGCTAATACCTTTAATAATACAGTAGTCTTAGCAGTAACTGTTATAATATTAATGCATCCGTTAACAAGCTAAACTGCTAACGGCGCACACAATACCCACCACGGCACGCAACCTGTTTTCGAGCTGCTGCGCGGCGTTAACTGTATTTACTGCAGTCTCAGATTAATTACTGCATATTAATTAATGTCAGCCCAAGCAGGAGAAACAAATGTGAGGAGGTTCTATTATTTATTGGGCAATGGACTGGGGAACATTTGCCAATGCCTCGTCTCCGGGAGTGAGAAATTTCTGGAAGAAAGGGAGTTTCTAGCATGGGTGGAGAAAACAAGGCCCATCCTCTCCACGGTAAATATTTTTTGGTCCTGAATCTAAACCTGGATCAACTTTCTGAAGCAGGCAGTTAGTTATCCATGGTAATCCTAGGGAATTAGTGGGAGCTCTATGCCAGTGGGGTAGGAAATCCATGCCGGGTTTTGCTTGGCTTTAAGGGAGGTTCATATCACATTCAGTTACAAACTCCCCTTTTCCAAGAACTTTCAATGGAGAGAATCCACCTTGGATGACCCTAGATAACTGGCATGTTTCTCTTCCTAAGGACTGTTGCAAATGAACAAGTGAGTTCTTGCAAAGCATTGTCCTCTAAAATTGTGAAACTATGGGAAAGTATTATCTCTCTGGGGTACTTTTGCAGCGAGTAGTGAGTTCCAGCTCCTGCAAGAGGCTGGTATAGATCTTCCATTTTTGTGGTTCTGAGAAGGCTCTCCCTATGGACTTAGAATTGAGCCCTTCCACACATACAGCATCTTAAATTTCAGAAAAGCTGTTGCAGCAAATCCCACTCTCCTTGCCACAGCTAACCTTTTGCATTATTTTTGGTATACAGTGGTCCTTGGTATCTGCTGTGGTTTGGTACCAGAACACTTACCCCCCCCCATACCAAAATCCATGGATGCTCAAGACCCATTAAATACAATGGCACGGTAAACTGGTGTCCCTTATATAAAGTGGCAAAATCAAGGTTTGCTTTTTGGAATTTGTACTTTGTTTGAATATTTGCAAGCCATGGACGCTTGAATCTGTGGATTTTTGTTCTAGCATATTGTTATGAATAGTGATGGCTGGTGCAGCAGCGGTGGGTTTTAGTCTGAACTTTAAAAAGGACTAAATAGGTTACTGGAACTACTTTGGGAAAATGGGGTCCATTAGGTTGGAAAACTCCTTTGCAGTTCAGGCCACATCCAGGAGAGGATTCACTGGCTTTAGAAACGCCAGCTGCCAAACTTTTTATAAAGTATTCTCCAATGGTTTTGTCAAAAGCTCTGTTTCTTTGTCATGTCTTTAATTGTTTTCATTTGAGATGCACACTGTGCCCTGCTCTGATGGCTTTTGAAGGAATACAGAAATACTAATGATAAATAGATAATAATACATGAGGATTGTAAATCTGCTTTTTTGGTCAAGGTTGGGCCATAGGCAACCAGTTTGAATAAAAGGCTATTACTGTCATTACAGAATTAAGGGTTGCCATGGACGGTCAATCACATCTCCCTGCAAAGTATGTTTGTACCATGCATATAAATTTGTACACTAATCCGTGTATGCTGAATTCCTACTTTGCAATTAAAAGAAGAAGATGATTTAAGAATGTACCTAAAATGTGAGAACCAGAAAATATTGTAGGACATTGGTAGGTCTAATGCTGTGGATCCTGCATACCTCACTTGGCTTGTGTCTGCACTGCAGAAATAATGCAGTTTGATACCACTTTCACTATATGGCTCCAGCCTGTAGAATCCTGGGATTCGTAGTTTGTTGTGATTCCAGAGCACATAGAGAAGGCTAAATATTTCACAAAACCCAGAATTCCATAGCATGGAACTATGACAGTTAAAGTTATTAGCTGTATATAATAGATGAAATGTGGGCCTAGATACCCTAAAAGGCACCAGATCTCCATCTGACCTTAGAAACTAAGCAGGGCTAGCTCTGGTTAGTCCTTGGATGGGAGGCCCCCAATGAATACCAAGTGCTGGAGGCTCTATTCCAGAGGAAGGAAGTGTCAAAACCACCTCTGAGGGCTCCTTGCCTAAGAAGACCCTGTGAAATGGGGTCCTTGGTGTTGCCATAAGTCCACAGGTGACTTGAAGGCACATCCACACATGCATATGGCATCCATCCCGAAATCCACAGTGCTGCACAGGCTTCCTCCCTGGCTCTTGCTCATTTTCCTGAAATCAAAATGATTAGAATAGGGGCCTTGGCAGGTGTCCAGACAGAAAGAGGGAATTGTTTATAAAAGAGTCCCTTGGTGTGGAACAGGAGGTTTAGCTCCAACGTCCACCTTTCCCAATTCCTGCTGCAAAAGGAAAACAAAGCTGGAGTGGGGAAGACGCACTTTCTTGACTCTGTGTGTCCCTTTGGTCCAAGGCGAAGAAGGATCTTCATCCTGAGCCACTTCTCGTCCCCATCGCTTTCCCATTTGGGATGGCAGGGATGTTCCCACCAAGAAAGGCCCTATAGAGAAAACCCTCTCAATGGCATTAAAGAGCCTTGGCGTGGGTCTCCATCCATCCTGAGCCCTTACCATCCTGGGATGCGTTGTTTTAATTGTAGCCGCCTCACAATTGCCTGGTGTTAACCAGGGTCAGGCTGCACACAGAGGGAGCAAACCACCACTACCACCACCATCGTCTAATAATGCCAATAAAGAAGAAAGAAGAGGGGAAGGAGGAGAAACCATCTCCCTCCAAGCCCAGAATCCTTGCGACTCAGTCCTCCTCCTCCTCCTCCTCCTTGCACAAGCACAAAGACACAAAGCAAACAGCTTCATCTGCAGAAGAAGCAACCACCAAGTTTGTAGAGATGATGCTCCTTCTTCTTCTTGTTCTTCTTCTTCTTGTTATTTCAATCGCCTGCTGCCACCTCTGATCTTATGCCAGCCCTGCTGCGATGGAGCTCCAGGCCAAGCGAACTCTGAGAAGCAACTACGCCAGCCAGCGTTGTCTTCAAAGGATGTGTGTACTCTTCCGGCACAGCCTTGTTCAATGCACACACAGACACACACAGACACAAAGAGAGTGTGCCTTCCCCACTCCACTTTTATTCTCCTATTGCAACAGGAATTGGAATTGGAAAAGGGGGCTGCTGGAGCTCAGCCTCTTTTATAAACAAGGTCCCTCCTTCTGTCTGGACACCTTGCCAGGGTCCATATCATAGTAGGGTCATTTACGTTTCCTAAGGCTTCAGCCTTTTGTATGAAAAGAAAAAATATTGAAATTACCAAAAAATGTCAAAGCCAAGCCTGTTTTAGGGTCTAGCCTTAAATCAGCAGAGCAGCAGAAATGTGCCTTTGCCTAACTATGGGCCTTTGCAGAATGCCAGAAATAGTGCAAACTGAGTCCACTTTAAGGGTTAGGGTTAGTGCTAGGGAATCATGGGAATTGGTTTTTTTTCCTGAGACATTGAACCTTCCCTGTCAGAGAGCTCTGGTGCCACAATAAAATACAGTTCCCATGATTCCCTAACCCTAACCCTAAAAGTGGACTCAATTTGCACTATTTCTGGCAGTCTGCAAAGGCCCTATGCTTCCCTAAGAACTGGGACTGACTAAAAACACAACAACCACGTTGCATGTAGTTTAAAACAAAAGTTTACGAATGGCTTTAATCTATATATACATAAAAGCTAGATATCCTAATCTAGCTAGTAAAAATAAATCAGGTAAAAATAAATCTTTATCTCACCATCTTTGCAAAGAAAGTTGAGAGAGGAGGAAGATGGAAAACATGCAGTTTGGTTGAAAAACCTTTTGAGAGAAAAAAGGGGGAGTGACCTCTCATTCTGGGTTAGTTTGAATGAGAGATAGACAGAGATGAGTTTGCATGCAGGAAATCCCTGTCTATCTAAGATGGGAGAAAGAGAATGCAAAAAGTCTTCCAACACATATTCTAATCACTTTGATAGCAGAATTAGCAAAATGCCAG